ATTCGCCTAAAGGCTCAAATATCACTCTCAGTGTTAGTTCCGTATTTGCACCCATATTCATTCGATTACCTATACCCCCGTGTTGTCACGCAACATTCGACGCAGTGACTGTCCCTTTTGTGACGGCAAGCAAAGGGTTTTTTTTCTCTTTTACGTTACCTCAGGCCCAGTGTTCGCCACCTCATCATTCTCTCGCCCTTTACCCTTTAAAAATAATATACACCATCGAGTAGTTACATTGTTTTCTAACTTCTTTTTTGTTGTTGTTGTTGTTTTCCTTTAGGGAGGTAAGATTCCTGTGAGATGGACGGCGCCAGAGGCGATTGATTATCGTAAATTTACTGCAGCGAGTGATGTGTGGAGCTATGGAGTGCTCTTGTGGGAGATCATGTCATTTGCTGAAAGACCTTACTGGGATTGGGGTAACTATGAGGTGAGTCCACGTGGCTTGGCTTCCGGCCTATGATTGGCTGAGTCACAAGTTGACAGCTATCCATATGTGTGACTCCCTGTTAGGCTAATGAGAACGAGATATTTGCAGTGTTATTTTTGTTTTCTTTGTTTGTGTTATGTCAAGTTTTCTTTGTTGTGGACGAGGGTGGAGCGGTGGCCTCATGGTTAGCGTGCTCGACTACGGACTGAGCGGTCCGGGTTCGAGCCCTGGCCGGGGACTTTGTGTTGTGTTCTTGGGCAAGACACTTAACTCTCACAGCGCCTCTCTCCACCCAGGTGTATAAATGGATACTGGACAAATAAGTGCTGGTGGTAACCCTACCATAGACTGGTCGTTTAATGCTACAGAAACCAGAGATAAGCTCCGGCCTGATAGGCCACTTGGCTTGTGATAATGCCGACTTTATCTTTTACCTTTCACTAAACAGCTTTTATGGATCATAGATCATAATTATGGTAATCATAAGTGACGGTACAGATATAAAATTGTTTACACTTCCTTCTTTGTCCTTTCTTTGCATTCAAGGTAATGGACCGAGTGAAGGGAGGATATCGTCTTCCGCCTCCGTTGGTAAGTTGTGTCTATCCTTTTAGTATTCTTATTTTGTTTCGTTTTTCGTTCACTCGCGGAACTCCGCCTTAAACGTCGCACAATGTGTGAAATAGAGATGAATTTTGGAGAATGTGAAGTCTCAAAAGTTCAGTAGCCAACCTCTACCCGTTCCTCCGTTATAATAATTGTTATGGGTAAAAACGTGCCATGAAGAATTTTGAGTGACCTCAGTTCACAAATGCAAATAGTAGCAGACGACTAGAAGGTTTCCTTTCCTTGTTTTGAACGCACCGACCTCCCCTCCTCCCCTCCTCTTAGAAAGGCTCGATACTCAGGCTATGGCACCAGCGCTAACTCTCAATTTTCGTCAGTCGCCCTCCCCCCTTCTCGGCCTTTGCCTTGACCGTTGCTTCTAAGATTGAAGCAACACTCGTCAGCAGATTTTGATCTCGACAAGGTAAATCTGTTCGTTTTCTTTCCTTTTTCAGGATTGCCCAAAGGCCATTCATCAAATCATGTTGAACTGCTGGAATGTTGACCGCAATAAGCGACCCAAGTTTGCTGAAATCGTGAAGAAGCTAGACCAGCTGATTCGCTCCCCTGACAAGCTCAATGAAGTGTCTACTACTGTTCCCAAGTAAGATAACTTCTTCAAATGAGTTCTTTAATTTTGTTGTTCTCGCTTTTCCTTTTTGTGCATTGTTAAGTGACGTAGCGGAAAAATAGTTTCAGTGCGTAGAGGGCCTACTTAACTTGTAAGCAACGTTCGTTTAAGAAGGAATAGGTAACTTGCAGAGATATTGTGAAAATATTTCTGTTGCTGTAGCTTGAGGAATCTAATGAATCTCCTTATCAGTAGATAGTGTCTCTGACTACTGCACAGACTTGGCCCAAATCGACCTTCGCTTATTCCTTCGCTTAGTCGACAAATAATGCTGTCAATGAAATTCAGCTGGTAAACAGCCAGATAAAATATGACAAAATTTTGGACGTTTAATTTTCAGACTTTTCTCTGTCTCATTTCGGACACCGACTTCGGACAAAAATTTCGGACACTTTGCGTAAACATAGCTAAAGTAAATTTACGAGTTAAAAACACGAATTAGACTTAAACAACAATTGTGAAAATGATAGTTTAACTGCTCCCTCTCGGGTTTACAGAAACACCGAAGTCAGTGAAAATGGCACAAATTTTCCCACGCTCTTGCGTATCAAAAGCAGTGTCTCTACTAAAGTTCCTTCCAGAGAGGAAACCAAGAGCTCTGGAGCAACGAGCAAGTTTTATACTGTATTGTATTTTCGGACACTTTTTTTTTGTCCGAAATTAAAATCGTTCGAATTTTTTTGCAAGTAATGTACGTCACAGTTTTTCGCATCCAAATAAAGGTGTCTTGTTCAAGGAGGATGAATTGAACGTGCGAAAAAGGATTCTCCTTTACTAAAGCTATAAGCTGGTCCCCAAACATTTCATTGCCAGTGTGTTGACACGTGTATGGCGTGACTCTTTCCAGGTCGCCCAAGATGGAATACACCGAAAAGACGACCGTACATGATTGGCTAGAGAGCATCAAGATGGGACAATACAGCGACATGTTCAGCAAAGCAGGCTACACGCACCTGGACCAAGTGGCCAAGCAGGATGAACTGGATCTTAACGACATGGGAATCAAGCTCATCGGGCACAAGAACAAGATTAGGAAGAGTCTTAGAGACGTTAAGAAGACTTTGGACAAAGAACCCTTCCTTCCGGTGTAACTCTCAGCGCGGATTGGTGACGAGCCTGAGATTGCGCGAGACTGGGAACAAAGGCATGCGCTTCAGCGAACTGACAGGGATTTAGATAAGTGCAGAAACAAAAGAATGGACATGGAGAAATTTACGAAACTCTTGTAGGAACGACACCGTGGATTAGTTTAAGCGTATTTGACGATTTTTAACATTGCAAATTTACTAATTTCGCCATAATACAATTATTGTTATTACAAATAACAAGTTACCCCACACAGCAGTACACTATTTCAAATGGGTGGAAATCTTGAAGGGTGGAATCCCCGAAGTACGGACAACAACAAAATTCCTTCATTTTTTATCCCAATCTACTGACGAGTCAATTATAGTTGTACGGATCCCTGTTGCTGTTGACTAGTCTCTCAAAGCAAAATGCGCTCAGGTGCTGTTAATTGACCTTTTCGTCTCTTTATTGAAAGGATATTTAAGTCGGTTTGAAATGGGGAATTGCCTGGGGTCTTGAAAATTTAGCACACATGTATCTATGGTATGCTTGTAGCAAATATCGAACATTGCGAACAATTTTATTAGTGATGTAGAACTTTAAGTTAAAATATCAGCATGGGTCTTGTTCAATTCCATATTAGCTTTATTGTCGCCATAAGGAGTACGGTTTAATCATAATTTATTACTTTGGGAAGTATGAATTGAATTTGTAACAAGCACGCTGCGCTACACTTGTGCACAACCCTTGCGCTCGCACAAATACTTCTATTTTTTAGGGGTAAAGTTATAATTTGTTAGAGGAGGTTTAAAATGAATATAAATAAATAATTGGCAGGTCGTGTTAAATAGACCAATTTCGTATTCTCGGTACTGAACTGGAACTAGCTTGCAATGGAGGCTCATGGAGAGGAATATAAGACTCCCCGCATTAGCCTCAGTTCCAAGCTAGATCCAGTCCAACGTCGA